CCCTTCTGAAACTTTCGTTGTTACTCAGGGTATTGCCTTACACTGTAATGAAACGGATACTTTGAACTCTTCACGCAATATTCGCAGAATCCTGACTGTTTTCGGGCAAATTTGCTTTCCGCACGCTAACACAAGCCTTAAAGTTTCATTAAATCCTTCCGATACTGTTAACAATAACAATAGCTTAAAAAATTTGCATGAACGTAGTAAAATATATGTATGTCACTGGTAAATTAGTGCACTGTGTGTACGAGGAGGAAAAGAAAGTTTTTCATCCAAGCTTATGGTTCCATGTAGCTGCTTTTATTTAGTATTTATTTAAGTCGTTTCTGCATTGTTTTGAAAATTTCATTGCCATCTTATACTACTCTCATTAACATTCTTAGATAATTTGGTCTTTTTGACTCTTAAAAAGGATTAATTCTTTATCATTATTTCTGTTTGTTATTTATAAGATGGATTTGTTTTTTTTGCGCAATTATGTTTGCATTTTGAGGCTACATTAGGTGACCGTGTTCTTTTGTTATTTGCATTAAAAATTGTGGAGAAAAAATACAATAAAATGAGTGATAGACATACGATATTTTACCCTGATTCTGTGTTTTTTTTCCCCCCCATAATTGGATGATTTATCGGTATTTAAAAGGGATCGTTCAACCAAAATTGTCATTTACTCACCCTTAGGTTTAGGTTTCTGTTGACCATTAAAGATATTTTGATGAATGTTGTGAAACCGTTTGACGGTAGCCATTGACTTCAATAGTATGAAAAAAATACTATGGAAGTCAATGGCTACCATCAACTGTTTGGTTATCCACTTTCTTCAAAGAAAGAGAGATGGCCTACAAGTGCTAGCTGTTGCCGGTCCAACTCGAGTGTCTTCCCTCAGCTCCTTTGTGCTCCAGCCGGCACAATTACTGCCGGCAGATGCCAGGACAATGGGGAGAGCAGAAGAGAATAGGGGAAACCATGTGATGATACGTGAATATGCATGGAGCCCTTGGGTCTGGAAAGGGCACATCTACATTGTTAAAAGGAGAAGGCTCCCTGTGGGGGGGTGGTGGGTGTGGCTTCTGAAGGGCATTCAATGGGCCGGCAGTCTGATCATTGGCTGGCTGTCAAAAGCATCTGTTGCTGTGGGGAGTAATTAAACACTGGCAAAGCCCAAACGGTAATCTCTGCATATGGTCTGGATAATCAAACGAATGAATTTTAAATGAATTTATTTTATACAAAAATGACTATGTAAGAAAAGCTTTGCTTATGGTCTGGATAATCAAACAAACAAACTCGGATTCTTAAAAAAAGTATTAATTTGATATATTTACATAACTATTTATATATTATTTTTACATTAACTTTATTATTGGGTTTTAAAATGTGGATTTTTGATAAATTGGATGATTTGAATTTAAACTGGAATTCATAAAAAAAATAGTGTGACGTTAATAATTATTAAAAAAAGTATTTATTTAATTGAAAAATTATTAAAATGTATTTTTATATTTATATAATCTATTTATATATGTTTTATAGTTGCAATTCTGTGGTTAATATTACAGTTAAAATTTTTTATTTGTTAAAAATAATTGTACAAATTAATAAAAAAAAAAAGTTAATTAAAATGTTTTTATTACAAATTAAAATTACAGGAAGTTGCTGACCTAAATCTGCCTTGCCAAGCCTTAGAAAGGTTGCTATGTAAAAAGGCTTAATTAGACTTAATCTAGGGCCCTGGCATATGGGTTTGTACATAAATCACGATAACGCTGTTGTCAGAGCTGACTGAACATAAAGTACATAACGTTTTATGATTTTGCGGTTTGGTGGACAAGCATGACATCATAGATAACATTTCTATGTGACGTACTTTGATATGCAGCATAAAGATTAATGCTAGGCAATAATACATCTGTAATGTTCCATTTTCATAATCTTTTATTTTATGAAACTCCATGGTGATAAATCTATTTCAAATATTTTTCTCAGTTAATATGGTGGAATATATGGAGTATATTGCATATATATGTGCAATTTTGTTGTGTTATTGTCATTTTTACTATTGTTTGTGTTCTTTAAATATGTGTATTTATTTTTATTTCATGTTTAGGTTTAATTATCTTAGTATATTGTTTTTTAGATTTATATTTTATTTTAACAAAAAATGTTTTTAATTATGTATTTATTATAATATGTTTATTTCATTTCATGTTTAGATTTTATTGTTTTAGTAAACAATGAAATGAGAAATGTTTGTTTTATTTTATAATTTATATTTTGTTTCAGTTAATATTTATTTCAACAAAATATTTTTAATTACATATTTTTGTTCTAATATATATTTTTACATTACAGTTTTTTTTTATTTTTTTAAGATTCTAGTATCACTTCACTTCTCTTTTTCAATCTATTTTGACCACTGGGCAAAAAAACCCAACAACTTACAGTAAGTAGTTTACGTGACCTTGATCACCGCTTGAAAGCCGTGTCAATGGCTGACCTCAAAACACACAGTGAAAACACTCATTTTCACTAGCACACTATATAGCACGTGAAACCTGGAATTTACTTTTCCATGATGTCAGAGCAATATCCGCCTGTACTGAACCAAAACAATAGCTAGCATGCTCTGAAAAGCATAGATACACCACATGTGACACGATGACAACCTGGAACCATATCCGGAGGAAGAAACGTCACATTAGTGCACTCTGTTCGGAAAAGTAACACCTTACCAGGAGCGTAACATGAGTGGCATGTGAGGAAACCTGAGCGGGCCGTGTGCGCCGGATCCTCCCTGTTCTGTTCCACTGGCACACTCTGTCCCCATAGACCACTGCACATTGTGGTCTAGGGTCCGTTCCAGAGGGTCCCACCAAACCCGGCCCTGCTAAACCTAAATAAGGACACAATTTTCTTTTTTTTTTGGTTGTAACCAACACCGCCCTCCTTTAAGGCTCTATTAATATGCTAATGTAGTAATATCAAAAAGAAGCACAAGCTAGTTCCTCTAGCCAAGGGGCAGCGGGTTCACTGTGTTGTTTACTCATTTGCAGATTATTCAAATCCTATGCGCAATGCACCAAAACATCCTGGTTTGCTTTGTTTGCTGCCTAAGCACTTAAAAAAACAATACAGAAAGATCAGACTGAGCTGTCATGAATGGACCCACATTATTAATCTGCTTCATGACGTCCATCTGCTCGCACTGAACTATTTAGAAGCTGTGGTGACCACACTGTGATCAGCCTCATACATGATCTCTCCAGCTGCTGCTGTGAATGACCCGAATAAACAGTCTGCTGTGGGCCAGTGATATTTGAGCTCAGTGTTACAAACTGTCTGACGACTCGTCTGTTTGAGTTCACTGATGATACTACGTGCTGTAAAACAAAGACATGTCTAAAATCAGATAGATAGATAGATGATGGACAGACCGATGGAGGGACAGAGAGACAGAGACAGATAGACAGACAGACCGACAGACAGATAGATAGATAGATAGATAGATAGATAGATAGATAATGGACAGACTGATGGAGGGACAGAGAGATAGATAGATAGATAGATGATGGACAGACCGATGGAGGGACAGAGAGACAGAGACAGACAGATAGATAGATAGATAGATAGACAGACAGACAGATAGATAGATAGATAGATAGATAGATAGATAGACAGATAGATAGAT